GCTGCAAAGATTAAAATCGAAGTTGTTTTTAAACGTTTATCGAACCTTATGTACCTCACTAAGTCTTAAATTATAATGCATTGTCATACAATAACCTAATGCGTTTCCTTCTGTAACTAGTACATAGAAACATTAAATCAGTTCTGAAATGAACTTGAATTTCACAAAATTGTCCAACGATCAAATGCTGCACGGAGTTTCGACCTAAAATTTCTTCTACATACATCCAAAATAGAAACAGCCCTGAAAAGTCTGGGGTGCGATTAGTTGCATAATTTATTTAATTTAAACATAATTTAAACGCATCCCACATAATTATGTGGGAATACGTAGATATGATTTTTGAAAGATGTGTCAAATATATTGGTTTTTGTTCAATATATTTTAAATGACGCGTTAAATTATCGATTTTTGGCACATTTATAACAAAAAAAAATCATAAGCTTGAAAACCAAAGCCGCTGCGATTTTGACCTTTTCGTAAAAGTTTTATATTTTTGACAAATAAACAACGTCTTAAAAGACACCAGCACTTTAGAATGAATTATTTGCACTTTGAAAAGCAGTTTAGTACAATCATGTTTTGCCCAAAAGATGGTGCGTTTCATTCCAAACAACATTTCTCAAGACAAAGAATTACTAAAATGACTCGTTTTGGAGTTATTAATTTCGTTCTACTAGATTGCACATTCCTTGACCACTGTGCAATGTTGCCTACTGTGCAGTTTATGGAGCATGTCAGAAAAATATCGTTTCCTAGTCAATTATTAACTAATTATCCTGACGTTCAATCCAAATGCAGTCTTGAGCATAGTTGCAGCTGAGAAAATTTCACATTAGTTCATCGTTCATAGCAGATCATTACATAGAACGGCTAGAATGATGAGAACAAAAAGTTCACTTTTCCCAGAGTAATTTCCATATAAACTTCAAAGGGCCAGTGCAGTATGAGTTCACATCTAAATGAGCTCAAATTTTGGGAAAATTACCAGGACCTGATAAAATAGTAAAAAAGGTTATCTTCCATTTAATTCCACTTAATTAATTTTGGTATCCATGACAGATACGTATTTCGACTACAATGTGCAGTCTTCAAGTAAATGTAGGGTTTGATCGGTGCTCGATAGTTCCCGCGATTAATGTTTTGCGATGCTTCAGATGTGGAGAATTTGGGCACAAAAGCACGGATTGCAAAAATTGCGAACGATGCTCTAGATGCAGCAAACAACATAGCACCTCTAAGTGTACGTCAACTGTATTGAAATGCGTTAATTGTTTAAAAACTAATAAGGAGCGTAAATTAAATCTGGACGTCAACCACGCAGCATTTAGTTCTAATTGTTTTGTGTATAAAAAAAACTATATGATCAGAAAAAAGCAGCTTACATTTCAATAAATAGCAACCAAGTTCCAGTAGTAATGTGAGTAAATTAGAGATTTTATATTTGAATATTGCGGGGTTATCTACAAACTACGTAACATTACGTCAGATTGTAGAAGTAAATCGTCCACTTTTGGTTTTGTTAGCAGAAACACATATTGTAGAAATTGAATCTTTTGATCAGTATAGCTTTCCGGGATATAAAGCTGCTGCTTGTTTGTCACATTCAAGGCACACTGGCGGTGTTGCTATTTATGTCAAAGAATCAGTTCAATTCAATCTTCGCCAAAACGAAGTTATTGATGGCAATTGGTTCTTAGGCATTACAGTTGAACGTGGCATGAAGATGGGTAATTATGGTGTTTTGTATCATTCTCCCAGTTCAAGTAATCAGCGTTTTATTGAAATTTTAGAGAACTGGTTTGAGACATTTTTAGATTCTAGTAAATTAAATATACTTGCGGGTGATTTTAACATTAATTGGCATGATACTAGCAATTCGAACCATCTTAAGCAATTAGCAATTAGAAACAAATATCGAGATTACAGCGTTTGCAGAATAAAGTAATGCGTTTGATTTTAAGATGTAATAGATTCACTTCCTCAACTTTTATGCTGGACGCTTTGCAATGGCTGTCAGTGAAGCAAAGAATTGTGTTTTTGACTATGGTGTTCATTTTTAAAGTAGTTAACGGTTTGCTGCCTCGATATTTGTGTGATCGGATTGAAAGAGGAAGTGATTTTCATAGATATAACACTAGAAACGCGGATGAAGTAAGAACACCACATCTTTTGAATAATGCTTCACAAAATTCATTATTTTTCAAAGGTATAAATGTTTTCAATTCGATGCCTAGACACATCAAGCGTGCAACTACACTTACCGAATTCAAGAGACGCTGCATTTCACATGTAAAAGCTGTTTATTGAGCAGTTAAATTTTTATGAATGGATAAATTATGTATCTTGACAAAGTTATCACTAACGGATTATTTTGTATGGAGACTGTCATAAAGACATTTTAGTAATTTGTGTAGCATATACAAAAAACTACATTGTTTGCCTCGATGGTGATGATGGATTTTTAGTTTTTTGATTTTGTAGTAGTAATAGTAAAAATAGCTTTAAGTAGTCTACAATGGTTTGAGCCTCGCGCGCGGAATACAGGTATAAATTACTAATACGTGGGAATTGTGGCAAAAGCCTTGAATTAGTAAAGGATTGGCTGGAAGTCGTTTTCTTGGATATAGTCCTGGCACTGCGGAAGCTTAAACGTGTAAATCCCAGGTCACGTGTAAATGGAAGTATTGTCGAGGACTATACTTGGACTTTTGATAACTAGTTACACCTTTGAATGTTTTTGGTTGAGGAAATTTATACCTGTAATTGAAACCAGCTCGATTTTGTTTGCAAACCTGGTTAAAATGTTTATATTTAATTATCTTAAAGATAACTCGTCCAGCTCAAACCTTTGTAGGGGTAAGATGTGGGACCATCATCATCATCATCATAAAGTTCAAATAAAGTTCCGGAAGAACTTTAAAGTTCCATAAAGTTCAAATAAAGTTCCAACAGAACTTTCTTCCCAAGTTCCGCATTCAACGATAAAAACTACTTTCAATTTCCATAAGTGCATATAAAGTTCTAACACCACATTCTGGCAACTTTAGAAGCTATAAAAAGCGCACAAAAAACTTCAGGCTCCAAAAAATCCGATAGAAGTTCAAAAAAAAAAAAAAATCCAAAAAGCATCCCTAAGCTCTTTTTAAGAACTTCGGACAAGGTTGAAAACATGGCCTCAACAAAGTCCCGAACAAGTTCCCAGCGGAACTTCTTAGCAGCTTTAAAGTATCTTAGTAACTTGAATGTTTCCAAAAAGGTCCGTCATAGCCCACATGAAGCAATCCGCACAAGTCTTTATTAGTAACAAAATTTAATGAACGTAAATATGAAATGTTAAGTGGCTCAAATAAATCATAATTCTTATAACTACGCAGTACTTCAATACAGTATCCAAAAAAATATACACATTAATTTCCTGGATTCGAACCCGTTTATTCGGCATGCGAACTACGAACGCTAACCACTGTGTCACAAGTGTGTTTGGAAAACCATGCGGACAAACACCAATTTAAAGTTCATCAAGGTGTTGTGTTTCGTATTCAAATCAGTCGGCTGGCTCTGAAAACTCCAACAGTAGGCGGGACAACAGCTCCTTTCAATATAGCTCAGAGTAACACTGCTGCTTAGAATGCTGCTTAGAATGCTCTTCAATTATGCTACCGGAACTTTCATGTTCTTATAACGACTTAAAAATGAGGCTGCTAAGAATTCTATAGACCACCTTCAACCAAGCTGGTTAAGCCACAAAAAGCCTTTTATCAGAACTTTTGGTTACTTGGGTAAGCTCAAAATTTGTATTTTATGACCAGTGCGAAAATATTGCTGCGTACTTAATTTTAGCTCAAGAGTTCAATCAGGTCCGAAATCATCAATACCAAGTCATAAAAGCTTCGTGAAGTCAACTTTCACGACAATTTTAAAACAACAAAATTAGAGCTAAAAACTACATTTTTCAGGAACAATTTCAACAAAATTCAATTCTGAAAAATTACCCCAAAATGAGAACACAAAGAGATGGAAAACATATTTTCTTGAAATTAACTCAGCTAAGGGCATAAGGCCGACATTACATCCATATTTACATTACCTATTTTCAAAATTAAAAATTGAGTTATTGAAAATCAATTAATTTGTTGACAACCACTAATGGTGGTAAGCTCCAACCGGTATTATCCTTGGATTAAATCCCAATCAGGAATGTTGGGCTGCTTTTAAGTCGATGTCGGTGTTAATCAATGCGATCCGAAGCAAACATCTGGAAGATCATCCAATCAGGGTCGGTATTAAAAGTTAATACGAGTTGGAGCTTACCGCTATAAAAAAACGTCACCGAAGAAACCAAACTTTTAAATATAACGGCAATTGCTGTAGGACTACTATTTATGCTGAATTCCCATTCTGGACCACTTTACATTGATGCTTGAAGCACTCGATCGATGTGAATTATTAAAAACGAGCACCGAAGGCTCCTGTTATTTTCAATACTTCTCCTTGAAAAAAAAATTGCAAAAATCAAAAATAAATCACTATAAAACATCGAAATTGGTGTTTTGAACCATGGTATGACTAATGTTCGCGTCCCTCTATAGACACTTCATTTGGGAGGCCCCGAAATAGTACGTATTATGGACAATTTTAAGAATCAATAATCAATTTAAGCTTTCTGAAACTAGCTTATTAGTTTCTCACTCTGAATTTATTTGATTCAATTGCACATATTTCTTCCGTTTCCAACCATTTATTGGTTTTAGCAATCTTGTTCAATAGTCAAATCGTGTAGATCATGCAATGACTTCGTGAACTGTTTCAGTATTGTCAAATTTGCCAATCTTGGCATGCGGAAATAAGAGGAGCCGAATATCACCATCGCCTTCTTGCCGGTCATCTAATACGATCGAAAATAGCAATCCTGTTTACAAAATCCAATCAATCTTGTCCCGAACTCTCAAATCCGGCTTCAATTCATGTTTCTGTTATTAGCGAAGAGTTGAGCTTACCTTGATATTCATGGTGTGCAATCGTTCAATTCCTGTTGTCACTATTTTTTTATCTCACCCCCGAGCGCGCGGCAGAGCCTTATTGAGCCACTTGCACACGATCTAATGTATCTGGATCAATCTACCACCACCCGCTGGTAGCTTTATGGTGGCTACTATGGGCGTTTAAACTGACAGGCACCTTGCTGTGCCGATTGCTAGATTGCCAAGTTCACACACGCACGCCTCACCAACTAGAACGGATTTTTTTTTCTTTGGAAAGCTTCAACCGGTTCTAAAGCGCAAACTCTGTTGAATGGCTCCAGTCTCGTTGATAACAATAATAATCGTGGGACTTTCAAATGTTTGTTGATCGTTACATGCATGCAATACAGGTGTTGTGAAGTTCTCAGGCTGCCACACTTATTCGCTGCTTACACATGTGAGCTTTAAATCGTCAATTGTGATTGTGTTGATTTGGGTGCACAGGTTAGAACTTGGACCGATCACTCACCAATTGCAGCATGCGCTGGCTCAGTAATGTTTAATGTTTCTAGGAAACGCTTCACAATTTAAAATCACAGCAGGCCAGGCTCGTACACTCACACTCCGGCTAATGAATGATTTTTTTTTTATCAACGATCTGAAGGTAGCAACAAAATGTTCACTGAAAACTCGCTTCACGATCACTTAGCACTTTTCAGAGCCACTCTCTCATCAGGGCTGCCGCCACGCACGGTTCGTGTTTACTCCAACAAGGTAAGTCTACAAATGGGAATACAGAATGACTGTTTACCTTCTTTTATAATAAGTAACATACCTACTATACCTTTTGAAATCGCGACTGGGCGCGCGAGTGAGAGTTTTGACCGTGGGGTGCTCGTCTGGGGCTGAGAGCGGAGAGATTTGCCTGCACCGGGAGATTTTTTTTTATTATTCTCAAAGGGATAAATTTCCACTGTGGGCGAGAGCAGTTTATTTGATTTAGTTCATTGAGAGCGGGAAAGTCGAACCTTGCCCTTTCAAAGTGAATTGAGTTTTCTCCATGAGTCACGCTACGGCCGTAGGCGATCGTTTCAAAGTTTGTAAACCCTATCAGCTCCAGATCAAATTGAGTTCTCACCGGACAATGTTCTGAGCATCCTTTTTAGGTATTCTAAAGAGCGCTACAGCTGAATGCAGAGCGGTCATATGTCTCTTTGAAATTAGACTCGAAGATTCGAATAAATCATGTTGAAACAATGAGAAACACGGCAACTGTCGTGCACATTAACGAGAATTGTCAGAGTCCTCACCAATGTGATTCAACTCTCCATGTGGACGATATGATGTGGGATTTTCAATCAACGCCTCCGATGGGTTTTGCTAGTCGGAATGATGGTTTCTCGTCACGTATTATTTCATTCATAGATTCCTACTCGTTTTTAAATTTGTTTTGTTTTCTTCGATCGTTCTCGTTTGCTTTGATCCGAAAAGCCTTGTCACCTGTTGTCCAATGCAAAGAGCTGTCCCCAACTGTACAGGTGTGTGCGGTTTGATTGAAGAATATGAGCGAAATTCTCGGAGCGGGTCATTCCGGAATCCGTTAGGTCTTATGTTCTTGGAAAACTTTTGCATTATGATGAATTTGAATAAATTTTGCATTTACTTTTTCTTCTTTTTTTTCTGGATATTGACGTACCTTTTGAAGCGTATGTTATCCGTAAACTGGTGCTGTTTGATGAATATTCGGTAAAATGAAGGCAAGAAAAAATTTCATGTCATGTGTTCATGTGTTTTAATGTCACTTTTGCTGAGATCTCAGGGAAACTTATTTTTGCCGAGATTTGCACAGCCGAGCTTGGTAGAAAAAAACTAAGTGTATAGACCAGAAATTAAAACTAGCAGGAAAAATTAATAACGCTCTGGTATTGCATCCAAATGAGTTGACGTTTTCAGTGAAGTTCCTTGGATTGATTTCGATCAATCAATCAATCGATCAGATCAATGTTATTTTTTTTCAGAGTACTGAAAAATATACAGGGTGTTCGATTCCTTAGTGCCAATAATTTAAGGGGCGATGGACGATCATATTTGAAGTAAAAAAATGTTCTACGCATATGATCAAATCTCAAAAATTACTGAGTTATTGAACTTTTTTTGTTTTGGTATATGCTTGGCTCGAACTAAAAAACTATGCCATTTAGCAGAAAAATCCTGCCTCCATTGGACAGCTTGGTAAATTTCCTACTTAATAGTGTTATTTCTACTTTAGGTAAGCTGCATTTAGACACATTTTAGGGATAACCGAGTATACAACTCGTGTTACCTACGGGTTTTTCCTTATTATTATTTAAAAAAATACGTGATAAAGTCTATTGTTTTGTCTAACCAAAAGATGCGCTCTACAACTCTCTCATTGACACCAATTTTCTATCTTGTTTAGTTTTGTCGCAATTTCGTACTTAACACATCATGCTAGGTCGTTAATTAACGGTTGCCTAAAACACGAATACAGCCCAACCGTGCGTTGCTGTTGACGTCTGTTTGCAGCGCACATAGCACACTTGATCGCCACGCGGAGTGACGGTATGAAAGGTGTGACAAGAAAAACAATGCTGCGGACGGTTCAATTGAACGCATTATGAAAATTGAAAATGTTCTATTTTTTTTCTCGATGCCAATGTAGATCAGTTCATTGAACTGATTGGGTATTTTCCAATGATTAATCAAAGTGAAACACTGATCTTCGTTTCTTTCATAAATTTATTTCAATAGTTGCTCTAAGTGTCCTCCATTTTCTTGGATGCAGTACCTGAACCTCCTTCCGGTTTCTTCCACAAGGTTAATATTATTCATCTTCTCTTGTATCTTTCGAGCAGCAAGAAAAATTCGGTCAACTAGCTGTTCGCGCGTCTTTATTTTCACCGAATACACCTCTTTCTTTATGCACCCCCATAAAAAGATATCCATGGGATTCAATTCCGGACTCCTTGGGGGCCAAGCAATCGGTCCATTCCGTTTCCAGTCTCTCACTGGAGCGTATAGTACAAAACGTACTTAAAACAAACAGAGAGAATATGCATCCGTTTCATACGCTACAAGTTCAGGAGCTTCTGGAAAAAAGATAAACCGCTCCGGCTTGAGTTCAGCAGGATTATGGCCCCGAAAATGGATGAGGATGCATTGTTCTTGAAAAGCATTCTTTGGACGGACGAGTGCACCTTTACCCGTGCAGGATACTTCAATACCCACAATGACCACACGTGGGCAATTGAAAACCCAAGATTTTTTTTTCTTTATTATAGAGATTTTTTGCCATCATCTCTTTGAAAACCCAAGAGTGGTCAAATAAACAAGTACACAGTACCGGTTTTTCGTTAATGTATAGGCCGATATAATTGACCGACAGCTCATCTACATTGTCGAAACAGAAAAAGCTCAATAGCTCAGTAATCTTTGAGATTTGGTCATATGCGAAGAATAATTTTTTACTTTAAATTTGTTCTTCTATCGCCACTTAAATTATTTGCACTAAGGAACCGAACACCCTGTAAATCATATGAAAGTTGAACAATTGCATGGTTTTCTGAATGAATTATTTTCTAAAAATTTGCGCAAGTGAATGCAAAATGTCATCGATTATTCAAAACATACATCAGACTTTAATTTCTTAACATATCTCAGAGGTAAATTGAAATTTATCTGCGATATTTGGATTTGAATTGAGGTCCCCAACAACTGTGCCTAATTTGTATGAGGTTGGTTATGATTTGCATTTGTGGGAGATCTTAAAATTATTTTTAGAAAAAACATATGGAAAACGAATTTAAACTATTCATATACTGGTAAAAATTCAAAAATTTGTCAATTCGGATCAAAACTAAGATTAAAATTGGAAAACTATGCAGAACAACTTTATCGAAGATCGCAAATCGATTAAACATTTGCGCTAAATGTTATTTTACGTTATGTTATGTTATGTTATGTTATGTTATGTTATGTTATGTTATGTTATGTTATGTTATGTTATGTTATGTTATGTTATGTTATGTTATGTTATGTTATGTTATGTTATGTTATGTTATGTTATGTTATGTTATGTTATGTTATGTTATGTTATGTTATGTTATGTTATGTTATGTTATGTTATGTTATGTTATGTTATGTTATGTTATGTTATGTTATGTTATGTTATGTTATGTTATGTTATGTTATGTTATGTTATGTTATGTTATGTTATGTTATGTTATGTTATGTTATGTTATGTTATGTTATGTTATGTTATGTTATGTTATGTTATGTTATGTTATGTTATGTTATGTTATGTTATGTTATGTTATGTTATGTTATGTTATGTTATGTTATGTTATGTTATGTTATGTTATGTTATGTTATGTTATGTTATGTTATGTTATGTTATGTTATGTTATGTTATGTTATGTTATGTTATGTTATGTTATGTTATGTTATGTTATGTTATGTTATGTTATGTTATGTTATGTTATGTTATGTTATGTTATGTTATGTTATGTTATGTTATGTTATGTTATGTTATGTTATGTTATGTTATGTTATGTTATGTTATGTTATGTTATGTTATGTTATGTTATGTTATGTTATGTTATGTTATGTTATGTTATGTTATGTTATGTTATGTTATGTTATGTTATGTTATGTTATGTTATGTTATGTTATGTTATGTTATGTTATGTTATGTTATGTTATGTTATATTATGTTATGTTATGTTATGTTATGTTATGTTATGTTATGTTATATTATGTTATGTTATGTTATGTTATGTTATGTTATGTTATGTTATGTTATGTTATGTTATATTATATTATGTTATGTTATGTTATGTTATGTTATGTTATGTTATGTTATGTTATGTTATGTTATGTTATGTTATGTTATGTTATGTTATGTTATGTTATGTTATATTATGTTATGTTATGTTACTAGCTTCAGGCCAAGTGCATCGCGCATACCTATAAGCTCATACATAGGCTTGTAGGTATATTTGGTGCAATAGGTCAAACGTAAATCATTTATACCTTTTTGCGCAGAAGTCCAATCAAATTGCGGTCTTAAACAACGTTGTTCTGCATAGTTTTCCTAATCAAAATCTCAAGTTTGATCAAAATTGAGCATTTTTTAAATATGTAAAGCAAAAAGAATAGTTTTGAAGTATTTGTTTAAATAAAATAAATTGTTTTAAATCCAAATATCTCATATATCTTATTAAAAATTTTAGATATTTTGAGAAATTTATGTGTATTTGGTATACATATTGAATAATTGATGACATTTTGCGTTCACTTGCGCATTTTTTAGAAAATGCATTCAGAAAACATGTATTTTTTTCAAATGTTATGTGATATATATTTTTCAGTACTTTAAAAATAAGAACATTGATCTGGAAAAGATTCAGCGGGATCGAGGAAAAATGATAAAAGCATTCTTTTTAACGGTTGTCAAAATATAAAGGGTGATACGGTCAAAATTTGGTCAATATCAACTTTACGTATTTCTTTCAATTTTGCATTTAAAAAACCTGAACACCCCTCATTTTGAAGGTGTGTGTGTGTAGAATGTTGCTCCTATTTTGATTTTGGAATTCACTCTTCAGTTGTCAAAATGCCGTCCAAGCAAGAAGAGCAGCGTATCAAAATTTTGCTCGCGCATCGCGAAAATCCGAGCTACTCGCACGCAAAGTTGGCAAAATCGCTAAAAATTGCCAAATCAACCGTTACAAATGTAATTAAAGTGTTTGGGGA